TTAGTGGGATAACGCTGAGTGGGGTAACGCTCCGCAGGATAACGCTGAGGCGTTATCCAACTTAATGGGATATAACGTCAGTTATCCCACTAAGTGGGATAACGCCCGAGCGCGACGCCGATGCGGACAAGAATCTGGTCTTCTTACAAGACCAATCGCGCGGACAAGAACCGTGCGTTTTGTTTCAGAGGCCCACCGCTGGCCCACCGCTGGCCCAACGCTGTCCTGCTCCTAAGTTTACGTGGTCGTTCACGGAGCTGGAACACTGCTTTGAAGCGTCGCCTTCCCCGAGGTCGCGCGGAACGGCTCACCTATCGCACGTTGGTCCGAACTCTGCACCAAGTGTTTCTGAACACCCTCTCCGCTTCAGCCTCCCTCTTCTTTTCTTTTCCTCATTCCTCTTATCTTCTTCTCTGCAGGGTCTCACCGATACGAAGTTTGTGTATTTCGTATCGCTCCGCGCTCGCACAATCTTACTCGGTGACCGTTTTCCTAAGCAGTGGCGGTGCCTACGTGCTAAACGTTGGCTCCGTTTGTGCCATTTCTCCCCTCCCTCCTCCCACCTGCTGGTTCTTTCCCTTCCTGCCTCGTTCTCCTTTGATCTGTACTGCGGCCAGAATTTTGGCCACGTTTGCAGGGCAACCCTGACGCTCGTGCCGGCGTTTCGCACTTGCTACCCGAGCCCTGGGCCATTGTGAAGTTTTGTTTTCTGTACGTAAGTGGGAGAACACTTGAAGGGCAACGCTAAGTGCCATCCCCACTAAGTGTTATCCTACGAAGCGGGATCACATGCTCTTAGCCAGAAGCGTTATCCCACTTAGTGGAATAAATCCGGTTTTGAAGATGCGCCCAGTCCCCCCCCCTTTCCCCCCGCCCCCCCCCCCCCAGCATGCACGGTACTTCAAGGAAACAAGTCACTGGTTTCTTGGAGCTGTTTTGAGTCATCTTGGATAACATGAGCGTCTATCTTGCGCACCCGAGGTTCTCGTGAGAAGACTAATAAGAAACTTCAACCAAAAGTCGCCCTTTCGCGCCCCAGCGCTGTGTTGACGAAATTGTTTACCCAACGCACTGTTAACGAAATTGTCCCCCCACCGGTGGTCCGACCCGGTAGGGGCTGGCCTGCAACATTCCATTTCTTTCGCGTCACCTCTGGGGAGTTCCATTTTCCTGGTTGGGCGACGCAGGCTTTCGTCAACTCCTGATGTCGAGTGCCACGAATGTGGTCTCATCTGATGGTGCGACGTGCAAGCGCGCAACACCAGCACAATGAAATCCAAACGGCGCCCTCTACCAGGGTCCAAACAATTCGTTGCAACATAGTCTTTCTTTCGAGTCGCGGTGGACACATGACCTCATGCTGCAGGACATTATAGAACAGGCCTCTCACTCATTATCGCAGTTGCTAGGCTGCAAGGGCCCGGCGAGGCGCTTCAGAGTCCCGTCGGGTTTTCGCCTCGTTGCTTCACCAACGCGCGGCCCTTTTCGTTCCCCCGTTTACGTCGTCGAAAGATCCAATACCGCTGTTTTGATTGGGTGCGCTCCCGCACGCGGATGGCGTGCACGGGTGCTTTGCATCCCGTTGCCACGTCTGCAGCGGTTGCTTTTACCGCGCGCAGTCGTACTTTGGCCACCCACAATACCACTCATTCAGTTGAGGACCCCCTTACAAATACCATGCGAGCTGTTGGGGCCCATTGGGGTCGTGTTGCGACAGATTCCGCTAAGTCACGGCCTTGCCACTCGCCGCCAGATCCAGAGACGCAGCAATCTCCGCGCTTCCAGATAGGGCCAAGCCCTTTCGACGAACGGCCTGGAGACGCGCGCCGAGGGCAACGGCGGCGGCACCAGTGCCAGAAAGTCGGCAATGTTCATGGCGTCTTTTCTGGCCGCTCCGCGTAACGCACATTGTTCTGGTTCGATTGGATTTGGAAGCTTATCGCATTATATATGGATGCATGTGCGTAGCGGCGGTGTAGAAGCCGCGTCTGGTTCGTATTGAAATTGCATCAGTTGTATATTCCTCCTTCGTATCGAAATCGCATCAGTTTGGTATCTGGATTTGTTCGCACATATCGGCCTGTGCGGGCGATGGAAACAACGCAAACCTCGTCGTGGCAGAGCTCGCAACAGTGGGTCACACTCTCAGCACCGGGCCAAGCGAGTGCGAGGTGATGCCTGCGGCGTGGGCAGACAACGACGTGTCCGCGGCAAATTTCCCACTTGGCTTCCGACTGCGCGCCGACGGCTGCTTCGAGCTCCTCGGCGCGTCCATCGGAAGTGATGACTTCTGTCGCCAGCGCGCGCTGAAACGCGCGAGGAAGGCCGCGGAGCTCCTGGGGGCGCGGGCCGGACTGGAGAACTCGCAGGTGGGTCTGAAAATTCTGCGGGCCTCCTATTGCAAGCTCGGCAACGCGGCGCGCGCGGTGCCGCCCTCCCCCCGCGCCGAGGCCGTCCTGGAGATGGATTCCGCTGTTTGCTACTTCCTGGGGCAGCTGGCCGGCGCCTCTCTCGCGGCGCAAGCGCAGCTGAAGCTGGACAGAGGCTCCTCGCGCGCCAAGAAAGGGGAGCTCTGCCAGTCCATGCGCGCGGGCTACGCAGATGAGGGCGCGGGCAATGCCGGGGCCCTGACCGCGGCGCCCCAGGCCCGCAGCGCCAGTTTGCTGGATGCAGACTGCGCCCCTCTCGACGAGTGTGAGACGCACTCCGACCAGAAGACCCTCTCGGACAAGCTGGACGACGCCGCCCGCGCAGCCTCCTCGCCTGCGACGCGCGCCCACCTTGCCCCGGTGGCCGCCCTGGGCTCCAGCGCGCACCTGCCGGCGCCCCTCAGCGAGGCGCTCGGCGCAGCGGTCTCGCACAGCCTGGCGCAGATGGGGATCGAGCGGCGGGGCCGGGTCCAGCTGGTGGACGCGGAGACCTTCTGCCCAGCGTGCGGAGAAGTGATGGTCGTGAACTCAGCCGCGACCTGACGCGCGCCTGCCAGGGCGACCTCACGCGGCGCCACGACAAGCTGCGCAACGGCACTTTCTTCGACGCCCAGGCCATTGGCTTCTCATGAGCGGGGCTGGAGCGGTTCGGGCTGCTACCGCCCCAGGCGCCCGGCGAGGGGCCGGGCTGAGAAGCCGGGCGGCGACGGACTGGACAACGATGGCTCCCGGCCAGCGCGAGTCTATGTTCCAGGTGGCGCGGCGGCCTCCCCGCCGCCAAGGACTTCGCGGTCGTGCCCAGCTTGCGCGGTGTCCTCATCGCGCACTCCGCCGCCGACCCGTGCGATGCCCTCGGGCCTCGGGAGGTGTTAATAAAGAGCATAGTTAAGCGGCGGCGCCGCAGCACGGCGCAGGCCTGCCCCGGCGCCGACGTCGCTTTCATCCCGATGGTGGTGGAAGCGCGCGACGGGAGCTGGGGCGGCGAGGCGCGACGCGCCTTTGCCGTGCTAGCTCAGTGCGCCGCCAACGCGCGCGGAGAGGAGGCCGCCGGCGTGGCAGACAGGATGGCCCAGCGACGCTCGTCGCCTTGCGTTGGCGCGCGGGCCATTCTGCAGCGGCTGACGCACCCGCGGCCAGGGGCGACCGCGGCGCGCCTCACGGCGGCCGTGGCGGCGCAGGCGGCGGCGGCGGCGGCCGTCGCGTGACGCTGGCAAGGCGGCCGCCAGCGCCGAGGTGGATGACGAGGCTGAGGAGGAGGGGGAGGAGGAGGAGGAGGAGGAGGAGGAGGAGGAGGAGGAGGAAGAGGAGGAGGAGGAGGAGGAAAAGGAGGAGGAGGCGGCGGCGGCGTCGGCGGTGGCGGCAATGCTCATCGCCCTCACCGCAGCGCGCGCGGGAAGGGCGTGATCAGCGCGGCCTTGAACCCTCGCAAGCATTGTTACGACCGAGACGAGGAAGAACGGCAAGTTCGTCATTCCTGACTGCGTGATGATCAAGGCCCACCAGAAAAGGCGACCAAGGCTGGAAATCGCGAGGTGTTCGGCAAACTTGTCATGGTGAAATCGAAGCCGGCCAAGACCATCGCGAAGGCTTTCCTGGCCAAGGACCTCAAGGACGAGTTCCGAGGGCCATGGTCTGACACCTGTGCGAAACAGGCCTGGCAATTCAAGTCGGCGGAAGGGCCACAGAAACCGGCGGAATCAAAACGACGGCGCCTTGGCCGGCGGCAACGGGCGACAGGCCGGCGCGAACCGTCGCATGGCCGAGGTCTTGGCATTCAGCATAGCGGCTTCATGCCTCCTCAGCCAGAACTTATGCATCGATGGGGAGAAAAATATCCAGTCATCATGGCGGTGGGTGCAGGTTTGCTCGGCCTCCTAGCGGGTGGTCCCCAGAAATGGTGGTTTGCAGAGCTAAGCTCAGCATCTTAGCGATCTGTCAGGGTTGGCTTCTTCATCCTCCGCGTCAGCTTTGAACCTGTTGCTCGGTGTTACAATTTCCTTATTGGCCAAGGAATTGTGCACGAGCTTGCCGAGTGCACGGCCACGTTCCATTATCTCGGCTGGACCCTGCGGTGTCCTTCGTATACCTGTGCGGGTGATGCGTAAATAGGGTTCGGAGGCGAGAATGCAGGCAATAACGGCTAGTATGTTTGCCGTGGTGTCGAAGAAGCCCCGACGTGAACAATTCCAGCCTTGCTGACCATGGATCAACACTCGTCCGCCTCCGCTACCTCCCCTTGCTCATCCCCTCTGCTCTGCCTCGCCCCCTCCCATGTTCTTTGTCCTCGCGCCATCGTCCTCTAATCCCTCTCCTCCCACGCCTCCTTATCTCCTCCATTGGTGCCGGACGCAGGAGGGTAAAGGCCACCTCAGAGGACCTTCGGAAGAACGTAAGTTTCGCAACGCAGAGCCCCCCCACCGAGATGCGGGCCGCGATGTTATCCAGAGTTTGGGCGTTGAAGCCACTCAAATGAAGCCCTCCTTGAGCCCCAACGAGCCACGACTGAGTCGTTTCGGGTTCCTCTCTCCTCCCTTTCCTTCTCCTTGTACCCCCCCCCCCTCTCGCCGTGAGGCTTCAGAAAGTCGCCAGCCGCCGGGCCGCTGCCGCGGCGGCGCGCAGTTGCCACCTCCCGCCAGGGGTGCCCTGAACAGGAACCACCGCGGGACAGAGGTTTACCGGAGGGCCCGGCCCTTTCTCGGCCAGGAGGGGGGAGAGTAGCAGGGAGGATGGAGAAGAGGCCGAGTCGGCTGCAGGAGGGGGCGGAGGAGGAGGAAGGGAAGGAGGAGGAGGAGGAGGAGGAGGAGAAAGCGGGAAGAAAAACAATGAGGAGGAGGATGAGGAGGAGGAGGAGGAGGAGGGAGGGGAAATATGTCCAGGAGAAGGAAGAAGGAGAAGGAGGAGGCGGAATCAGGGACAGGATGTGGAAGAGGAGAAGGGATGATGGTGAAGAGGAGTGGTCATGATGGTAGTGATTGTGGTGATGGTGGTGATGGTCATGGGGATGGTGGTGGTGATGATATTGATGGTGATGGTGATGGGGATGGTTATAGTGATGGTGATGGTGACGGGGATGATGATACCGATGATGATGATGATGATGATGATGATGATGATGATGATGATGATGATGATGATGATGATGATGATGATTATGATGATGCTGATGATGTTGATGATGATGAGGAGGAGGATGGTGATGATGCTGATAGTGATGGTGATGGTGATGATGATTATGGTGATAGTGATGGTGATGGTGATGGTGATGATGATGACTATGCTGATGATGATTACCATGAAACTGAAAATGATGATGATGCTGATGATAATATGCTGATGGCGAGAGATGGGTCGGGGGCGGAGGGAGTGTGTGGACGGAGGGGGGAGGAGGAGACTGCATTCATGTAGGAGGAGGGCGGGACGTAATGGCGGTGAGGAAGGAGCCAGGCGGGTGACAGGGAATCGTGATGATGTTGATGATGTTGTTGTTGTTGCTGATGATGATTCTGATGATAATGATGGTGATGATGCTGATGATGATGGTTGTGATGGTCATGATGCTGACGACGATGATGCTGATGGTGATGATGCTGTTGATTATACTGATGGCGATGATGATGATGATGCTGATGATAATGATGATGAGGAGGATCCTGCTGATGATGATGGTGACGATGACGATTCCGATGATGGTGATGATGACGATGCTGATACGGATTGTGATGCCGATGATGATGATGCGGATGTTGATGATGATGCTGATCATGATGATGGTGGTGATGATGACGATGACGATGAGAATGTCGGTGATAGAATAATGAGGATGATGCGTATGATGATGGCAGTTGGTGATGGGCATTCTAAGGACGATGATGCTGATGGTAACGATGGTGGTGATGGTGGTGCTAATGCTGATGGTGATTAATATGATAGCGACGACGATGATACTGATGATGATGATGATGGTGAGGAGGATGATGGTGATGCTGATGACACTGATGATGCTGATGATGAGGAGGATGCTGATGTTGATGATGCTTTCGGTGCTAGAAATGAGGATGCTGGTAAGGATGACTACGATGTTGGCGATGGTGATTGTCATCAAAGTGACGATGATGCTGATGGTACTGCTGGTGATGATGATTGTGCTGATGCTGATGCTGATTAGGATGATGATGATGACGACGACGATGATAATGATGATGATGATGATGATGCTGGTGCTGATGATGATGATGCTGATGACGATGATGATGATTATGATGCTGATGATGATGATGATGATGATGATGATGATGATGATGATGATGATGATGATGATGATGATGATGATAATGATGACGAAGAAGAGGAGGAAGAAGAAGAGGGGAAGCGGCAGGAGGATGAGGATGAGGAGGAGGAGGGGGAATAAGAGAAGGGAAGGGGTCACGAGGAGGAGGATGAGGTGCAGGTGGATCAGGAACAACAGGAGCAGGATCAGGGTGATGATGGTGATGATGATGATGATGATGATGATGATGGTGATGATGACGATGCTGAAGAATAGTAGGAGGACGTCAAGGACGATGGGGCGAAGTATGATACTGGGGGTGCTTAAGTTTCCAGCCTGGTGAGCTGACGTCTAAGCTCCAGCCAACCTCGCTCTGAATCTTCCGTTACTCCCTTCTCCAATCCCTCCCTCTGTTCGTCATCTCTTCCTTCCCTCAGTCCGTCTCTTCTTCGTCGAAAGAGGAGAATGAGGAAGATGGACGGAATGGGGGGAGGGGAACCAACATTCAGATTGGATGCAGTCTTGATCTCTTCAGCCTGCCGAGTGCGGGAAAGCTCGATCCTGCCGTTGACTATCCCGCAGTCGACGCCGTCGCCTTGCTGTAGGCCTGTCGCACCAGGGCTGCCAATGTGATGGGCGGAACGAGTACGATAAGTATGCTAGCCGCACTCTATGGGTGCCTGCCCGACTATGGTGGCTGCATTCGGAGCATAGTCCCAGCATGATAAGAACGTACAGTGCTTTTGCCGCGGGACCCGCACTCGGTAAAGGAGCCACTACCAAACGATTGTTGGCCTGCTCCCCGTGCTCATAGTGAAACGGATGATGGCCCACAGAATCCTCCACAAGGTCGGAGGATTGCGTGCATCGGCCGGGGCAATATGAACTGAACCAGCGCTCTTTCATGTCTTGCTTAATGGAGCGGACTTGGACACGACAGATGGTGCGGGGGGGAGGCGGATGCACAGGACCAGGGGCCACGGCACTGGAGTTCGAGGGTCCCCGCACGGCCAGAGCCGAGGCAGCACCAGACGGGGGGCGGCTCTTCTCAGGGGTGGCCATGGCCTTGTTGCGGCCAGGGGCAATGCTACGTCACTCTCCCAGGGCCTCCGCGACACAGCGGATGCACTTCTTGACCAGCAGATGGTCGTCCTGATATTTGTCGAGCTTGCGGGTACTAGGCTGTGTCCCTCAGCTGGCGGCAGCCTTGGCAATGTGCTCCGACGCATCACTACCTTCGGAGAGCGGAGGGGCAAGGGGGATTACGAGGCTGATGATGAGGAGGTCCACGCTGACAGGTGGACACAGCGACGGGCTTCAGACTGGCGCTGGTGATCCGCGCCACGCTGGCCGCCGATGGCCAGAGCAACGACATCACACGTTGAGGCCACATACTACGTGCGCATGGTTTACCTGACCATCGGCCACTAAATTCAATAGTTCATCCAGGGCATATGGCATCAGAGCCTTGGAACTCCATGTGTGCGGAACCCTACGTTTGTAGCTGCATGCGTTTGAGCCATGAGGGTCAATGCAAAACAAGTCCAAGCATCGACCGATGAATGACAGCCACAGCCAGAGGGGCGGGAAGCCGCATACTTCCGAGCCGCAGGGGTCCAAGCAGCCACCTAAAGAAGTGTGCGACAACCGAGGCCAGCGGCGCGGGAGCTCATGGGGCCACAGGAGTACAAGTCATGCAGGTCCTGTCAACCACCGAGAAAAATCAAATAAGGCAGCCAGGGCCAGTGGGGACGGAAATCATGTTTTAGCCATCGGGATCAATGCCGTAGGGGTCAAACTCAGCCACAGGGCCAGTTTTCCAGAACCCATGCAAGCATCGCTTAGCGCAGGCACCGTTTGGGAAACGACTCGTCGCCGCGCCGCTATCTGGCCACAGCCCCTGTGCAAACGTTACCAACCAGTGGCTAACACGTTTTCGGCAGCTAGACTTACCAGCCCCAGCGGCGAGGTAAGAGTTAGCAGCTGCCAGTTGTCTCTCTCGTATGCTGGTCCGACCCAGAACACGCCCCGCGCCGAGCCTCGCTTTTCACAGGCTGGGCCTAGTGTGTTTCTGGGTAATATTGATGCGATCATTCACCACCTGCCAGACCACCCAAACCCAACCCGAAGGCCTCAAGTTGCCCTCCATTTCCCGTGTGGGGGTGGCCGGGGAACACACAGATGGAACCCTTACCCCCTCAACCCGAAACTCGGGTCTGCGGGTTGGGTTGGGGTGGTCTGGTAGGTAGTCTACAATCTCATGGCGTTGCCAGAACGTCCACCCAGGCGTACTAGTCTAACATTGTTCTGGTTTCGTCCTTGCGTGTAGCACGGTTTCCAGTCATGCGTTATTCGTGCCGCCGCACGTGATGCAGATCCATGGTAGATTGCCGCACTCTTTGTGTGTGTGGACTCTCCCCACAGGGAGACACCGCCCATGGTCTTGAGGAGGTGTTGCCCTTCGAGCGCAGGCTTGAACTATTTTGTCCGTGATTGTGATACGACTTTAGCTATGTACTTTGTGTGATTGTCCCCTTCGCCTTCTGGGCAGGATCGGGCTGAGGGAGGAGGAGGAGGAGGTAAAGGGGGAGTCTAAGGCGAAGGATGAGGAGGAACCTGGACGGGTCTATCGTTGCACTGATTCCTTAGCCCCAGGAGGCTGCCTCGCGTCAGCCCTTGGCTGCGGCAGCAGGTCGGATGGCTTGTGATGTGCACGGCTTGTCGATCACGGATGCTCCAAACACCTCCCAGTTGCAGGAGGGCGATGAGGAGGGAAACCAGGCGGATGAGGAGGAGAAGGACTGCGGAGAGGGTGAAGAAAGAGGAGAAGTATGCTGTCGGCAATTTCCAGCTGCAGTTCTACCGTGCTGGAACGTATGCAATCCTGCAGTCCATACCAGCTGCTATGTGCCATGCGAAGTGTTGATTTTGGGGGAGAGAGTCTGGATTTCCACCGAGCTGGTTGGAGCTTCAGGGGGCCGACATCTTAGTTATGTGCAGATCCTTTCCGTACATCGAAATTCACAGGCCGAGGGGCTGATCTCCTGTAGTACGCTGTGCCATGCCCGGTTTGTGCTGTAGACTGCAAGTGGCCAGATGGAACATATTGAAACCTTCGGGTAAAGACCACCTCGTCTTCAGAAGGGGCTCCGATTTCTCCAGGCCCCTCTTAGGTTGTTATCGTACGCTCCTCGCCGCATATCTAGGCGCAACTAGGCACAAACAGTGTGATTTGCTTCCCTAGTGAAGGTTCTTTGTGGCAAGGTCTCGATTCGATTGGACGTCGTTAGGATGACACGGTGGAGCTCACTGGGCTACGCCTTCCCAGGTACCAGTGCCGTTAATGGTTTTCCACGTCAAGATTCGGCGGTTGCGGTTGACTTCTCCGAGCGTCCTGGCCACGGGTGGGGAGGGCGAAGGGCGGGATGGGGAAGGGGATGTGAGACGTGGATGACTGACCTTTCACCCGCGCCCAGCACTTCCTGAGACAGTCCCCTCCCTTCGGGGTGCTAGTTTTACTGGCGGGCCTCCCGTTCTGTTAGCCCTTGAACTTTAAGGGGATGACCCCTCCTCCCCCGTCCTCTCTCAGGGGGGGGGGACAGTGCTCCCGACGGCGACAGGTTTATTGTTCTTTCCCCCCACGGTATGGACCACCAGCCGGCGTTTCTGTTTTGGGCGCCTGCTGTGATTCGCGTGATTTTGAGAGACGCGGCTCCGGCGATCCTGGGACGCTGAAGCATTTGTTTTCTTGGCCCCGGCGTTTTTGGACTCGCATTACCGGCCGTGGCCGTCGACAGCCGAGCGAAGTTCCCTCCAAGCAGGGGCGGCCGCTGGCTGGCGCCTTGCGGCACGACGTAGGCGCTGGCAGCACGCGCGGGCCACGGCGGCACGAGCGACGGCGCTGGAGACGCAGACGCTGGCGGCGGGAGCGCGGCTGCTGCAGGACGCGGTCGAGGCTCGTAGCGCACCCGCCATGGGTCACGAGCGGCGAACGTATCCGTATCCACGCCCTCGCGGTCTGGACTCCGGGGCGCGGTCCAGCAGATACGCGGTCGCACGGATACGTTCCGTGAGGGGCATCCGCGAAAAGACGCCCCGTGTCCGTGGGGTCGCAGCCCAGGGGCCTGGCCCGCCGGGCCGCGGATAAGAATATGGTTTTCGCCCACGAAATTCTGAGATTCGGCAAGTCGGGTTTTTTGGTTAACGCTTGCCGGTCAGTTCTAGCCAGGGTAGTTGAATGAGGCAGGAAAGCCAAGGTGTGTGTGCCAGCCAGGGGTGGAACAGTCAGTGGAGGCAGCACGATGCGCGTTCGGATGACCGGCATGTTGTATTGAAGCAGGTCTTAGCTATATCACAAAGTTGGGGCAACATCTGGATCCTGTAGTATACGGCACGGTGATAACGATCACAGTACATAGTTTTCGCAGAATACCGATTGCTGGCGAGTCCAACGGATACTCCATAGTACCACAGGTGGGTTTAGTCTAAGTGTGCATATGGCAAGTTACGGTACGGATGCCGAGTCAACGAAACGTCTGTTGGCTGTTGTGCAACCCAGTACGACAAGGTTTCAGTTGAGTTGGCGCAGACTTTGGTGTACAGCACTGGAGGTAAGCATTCCAAGTAGGATGGCTTGTAGCCGATAAGGAAGGTGGGGTTTGGGAGGCAAGGCGTGCATCAGTTCCACGTGTCCTCAAACGGGCCACGGTTTTCAACTCCGATTCGCGAGCCACGAGTATATTTCCTTTTCTTTCTTCCATGTCCTCTCTCTATTCCTCCCGTTCCCATCCATCAGTGTGTCATTGACTCTGTTTGTTCAGGGTGCGGATTCATGTTTCCTTATCCGTTTCACGGAGGGGATTCGTTACTTGTCTTGTTGTGTTTTGCCGTTGCCTTGTTCTGGGATGTCTTTGGAGTCTGCAAGGAGCAGCCCTCAGGAGGGGCAGTAGACTTTGATTATCTCCTGATGCATCATCTCCCCGTTCATCATACCATCGCCACGGCTCCGAGACGCCGCGACAACGAAAACACGACCCCCCGCGACACCACGCCACATTCCATAACACCACGCGACACCGCGACACTACGACGCCACGATACCTCACGACATCCACCGACACCCTACGTCACCATACGCCCGCCGCCCGTTGACGGAGGAGCAGCAGGAGCGGGGCATTTTCTTTCAGCCACCCGCCTTAGCGAATTGCGGAAAGCGCGCAATGTGTTGCTTTGTGAGGTTGGCCGAGGGGCAGCCGAGGTAACAACCAAGCGGCTGCGACCATGCTGGATCCTTGCGTTCCTCCTCTCCCATCTCTCTCCTCCACCCGTGGCGCGTGCCTCCTGGGGCTCGTCTCGTCGCTTATTTCCTCTCTTGAGCCCTTCTCCCTCTCGTCGCCGTCTTCGTCTCGTCCTTCCACTTTGTCTTGCCACAGACGCTGAAGACACTGCGCAGACACAGCAGACACCTAGAATAGATCCTGGACGCAGTGTATCGTATTTCAGTGTAGTGTAGTGCAGTGCTGTGTGGTGTGGCCTCGTACGGTCTGGTGTGGTGTGGTGTGGGTCGTGTCGTGTTGTGTTGTGTGTTGTAGTGCGGTGTAGTGTGGTGTGGCGTGTGGTGTAGTGTGGTGTAGGGTTGTCGATGGGTCCTTGCGGGTGTCTGTGTTCAAAGGCACGCCGCTTATCTGGGAGCGCGACATCCGCTTAATCCTGCACCAGAACCATGCGCAGTTATTGTGCGGCGTCTGCCTGAGGGGACCCTGGATGGAGTGCGACCCAAGGCGCCTGGCGATCCGCGTCAAACGGCGCCATGCTGGCGCAGAAGCGCGGCCTGGCGTACTTGGAGGGAGGCTCGACGCGCTGGCACTGCTTCCACTGCTGATTCAGGGAGGTCGACTCGCTGCGTACGCCCAGAAGGGGTGCCGCTGCACGGTTGCATCGCCATAGATGACGACCTGCTCATCCCCAGGAGGGTGCGTCGGACCCCCAGGCAGCAGGCACCACCCTGCTGGCGACGCGGATGTGCGACGACAGCCTGGGTCTTCTTCGCAAGAGACGCCTGATTTTCCACTGCGACGGTGCCCTCAATGCCCCTGGTCACAGCTGGGCTTCGGTCAGCCCATCCATGGCAGTTTTGCTTTTCGACTGTGCCATGGTGATCATGGTCAGGCCGAAATCTGCGGCGTTCAGCCCTACGATCTGTGGGTGAATGAATACCAAGCCAGGTGCTGGAACATCGGATGGTGCTGCGCGGAGTGTCTGGCATATAGATACATCTTCATATCTAGAAATAGGTTAGCCAGCGTGGACCCCAAACAGTATACCACATATATTGCACCACATCTATTCTCCTTGCAAACAAGAAAATAGACTCTACTCCCCCCCGCGTTATCGCCCCCCTTTCGGGTATGTAAATCACATATGAGTCTGACCACATGTCCATCCTAAATATGAAATCACGATGTCCCAGGCCAACCGGTATCCCCCCCTGAGGTTCCCTGGTAAAAAAAAACACTATGCGGTGACATTTTTTGTTCTAACATAACACTTTGTCGCGAATTCCTTGCAACACATGGGACGAAGTGCACACGCGCGCGTCGTCGCGCGCGCATGCCGAAATCCTTCAAAAACCTTAGGTGCCGGAAGGATTTCGCAATCGAGTTCCCCAAACACATACAAAAATACAGGGTTTCGTAACACTGATTTGCCAAAAAATCTTACGCGCGAGCTCGATCGAAATCTTAAGAAAACCAATGGTTTGTCAATGTTTTCACAACATGCTACCAAACGGGCGTTGCGCGCGCATGTCGAAATCTGTCGAACGCCCTTGCGCGTGTGCCGTCGCGAGAATCCTCTGCAAAAATGAAACGAAGTGCAGACGCGCGCGTCGTCGCGCGCGTACGCCGAAATCCTTCAAAACCCATCGGTTTCGGAAGGATTTCAAAATCGCGCGTCCAAAAAACCTACAATAACACAAGGTTTCGCAACACGGATTTTCAACAAAAGCGTGCGCGCGCGCTCTTGCGGCGTCGTCGTCGTCGTCGTCGTCGTCGTCGCCGTCCTCCCTCCTCCCGCGTCGTAGTCGTCGTCGTCGTCGTCGTCGTCGTCGTCGTCGTCGTCGTCGTCGCCTACGTCGTCCTGTGTCTTTCCTCGTGGTCGTCGACGTCGTCCTCTGTGGCGTCGTGGTCGTTTCCGTCGTCGTTGTCGCCGTGGTCGTCCTTCCTCCTCCTCCTCCCTCGTCGTCGTCGTCGTCGTCGTCAGTCGTCGGCGTCTCGTCGTCGTCCCTCCTATTTCGTCGCCGTCGTCGTCGTCGTCGTTGTCGTCGTCGTCTCGTCGTCGTCTTCCCTCCTCCCTCGTCGTTGTCGTCGTCGGCGTCGCCGTCCTTCCTCCTCCTTCGTCGTTCGCGTCGTCGCCGTCCTCCCTCCTCCCTCGTCGTTGTCGTCGTTGTCGTCGTTGTCGCCGTCGTCGTCCTCCCTCCTCCCTCGTCGTCGTCTTCGTTGGCGACGTCGTCGTCGTCTTCGTCGTCGTCGTCGGCGTCGGCGTCGTCGTCTTCGTCGTCGTCGACGTCGGCGTCGTCGTCGTCGCCGCCGTCGTCGTCGTCGTCGTCGTCGTCGTCGTCGGCCGTCTTGCTTCTCCGGCCTTCTTGGGGCGCTCTTGAGACGCCCCCGAGGGCTCCAAGACGACCCCGGAGCGATATCTGTGCTCGGTCCCGCATGGGTTTTGCAAACCAAGTTGCGGGTGGGTGGGTGGGATGATTGCGCGAGCAGTGGAGTTGACAATTTCAAGTTCGGCAAGTGAGTTGCACCACACAGACTGCGCCACATAGATTTAGACACACACACACACACACTGTTTGGGGTCCACGCTGGCTAACATGTACATATATGGAGTGCGCACCCTCCAGACTGTTGCGCCGTCCTTAACAGAGACGTCCCCTGGTATATCCCCACGAGGTGGTCCAGAGGACCCGCCTGGCCGAGCTGGGCCTGGACCTGCGCCTGCCCCACCATGCCCGAGCTCCTGGACGGTGAGCTGGACCTGCGGTCGGAGCAGCTCGAGAAGTGCATGACCCAGCCCCCCGGTCCTGGTACCGAGGAGAAGGTTTTGGACTGTACCGTTAAAGACCTTGGGCACCAGCCCCAGAACTGCCGAGTATAGTCCTTTCGTTCATTGAACGGTAGGGTGTAGCAAGAGCCACTGGAAGGCCCAGCCCCCCACCCAGGCACTCGGCACAAGAGGCGTGCCAGAGCCGAGGAGCAGGCTGCCTGGGAGCTCTGCAAGCTTCCGCAGCCGCCCGCCCGAGCGCCCGCCCGAGCGCCGCGTTGACAGGCAGCAGGCGTTCGAGTCCCCAGGCCAACCGCAGCCCAGGTGGGTGTTTCCGCCAAGGATCCCTGGCTGAGCGGCGACCTCGCAGGCAAAGAACGCCTCCGGGTCTCCGCCTGCGCAGCTCCTGGCCCCAGAGCGCCCAGCACACGGCCACTGGCAGCCACTGCTCTTGGCCTGCTGCTGCAAGCGTCTCTCAGACATCCTGATTGGCTCCCTCCTCGCCCGATCCGTCCGTCATCAGCCATCCCTCGGCTCAGGCTGCCACGGCTGGCGACCACCGCCGGAGCTGCCCCCGCGCAGTGCCAGTCAGATTCGGAACCTCGACCAGCTGGAGATGCTGGATCTGGTCTGGCACTTGCGGCGCTTCGGCCTAGACGTCAACCGCCTCTGGGTAGACTGCGGGGAAAGGCGCACTGCGCCGTTGACCACCTACGCCGCCGGCGCGCAGGGCGACAGCCGCCTGCGCGGGTTCCTCGCCGCCTCTGCCGCTTCCTCTCCACGGTATGGTCCCAGGCATGTTCATTCCGTTGAACAATCACGACGGGAGATTTTGGGCCGTTTTCAGCTTCGCGGAACCTTCGTTGGGCCCCCGGAGGGTCAACGAAAAAGACTCGCGATGAAAAACCGGCTCCGGGGAAAGGGTCGGGGCTTCTGGGGGCCCCGCGTTGAACAAATCCAGGCAGCGCGCATGTCTGGGGTAGCCCAGCGTTGTCCCCTACGACGGCGCCCAGGGCCTGGGACCCGACAGGCAGTTCATGTTCGCGCACCTAGTCACCTGGCTCATCGGCGCCAGTGGAGGGCAACAGGACGCGTGGGAGGTGCTCCACCTCGACCTCCCAAATTGGACTTCTGGACTTCCTGGACCACGAGGGCGAACGCCGACCAGCTCCTGGACTTCCTGCAGCACCACGGGCCCGACTGCTTGGCCAGGTGCCCTCAGATCTGGCGCGGCCCCGCGCCAGCTTTCCGCCGCGCGCCGTGCTTATCGACGTCGACGAGGCCGCTCTTCCGCCCATCGCGGCTCCAGCCCCGACGGCCGACGCCCTCGCCCAGCTCCTGGCCGTCCTGGGCGGCCCGCCGCCTCCCCCTGGCCCCAGGCTCGCGCGCCGCGACGCGGGGCGCCTGGCCTGCGGGCGAAGGAAGCCCCAGCCCGCTCGAGGAGCTCCACGCACCCGGCACTCGCCAGTCTGGCTTCCACCTGCCAGGTCCATTCCAAAGTCCAAAGACCAAGCGCCTGGCCGCGGAGAATCGAAGAACAACCCACGGCATAAACATAAACTTGTGACGCTCCACGTGAATTTCATGGATCGGCGCTGGCCCCACCCTGGCGGCGAGTCTGGCGCCGCCCTTGGCGCCGCCCCTGGCGCCGCTCCTGGCGCCGACCCTGGCGCCGCCACTGTCGCCGCCACTGTCGCCGCCCCTGGCGCCGCCCCTGGCGCCGCCCCTGGCGCCGCCCCCGGCGCCTCCCCTGGACCCGCCCCCCTTGCTCGCTCCGCGCGCCAGGGAAGGGGATGCAGCGGTGCAGCGCCGATCCAAGAAGTCAGCGCGGAGTGTCGAAAGTTGATGTTTATGCCAGTCTCTGTTCCTCTATGGGCTACGGCAAGGTCGCCCGCTTCCCCAGAACGATTGAGCACGTCATGGCGGACCGCGTTCGACGGATCGGAGCGCACCTCGACGACATCTGGGGCACGGTCACTGCGTGCCTGTGCCACCAAGGAGGGACTAGGGAAATTATCCGAATCGAAGGACCATCGAGACCGAAGGTTCTGGAAAGCGCAAGAGCGCAGCGAGATCCTGGTACTGACGCGCAGAAGCGCAGTCCCAGGGGGCAGGGCCCTCAAGAGGTTTCCCTGAGACGGCCGGCACGCCGCGCTCGCCGAAGCCGTCTCCCACTTGACCTCCTCCGTCGAAAGCCGGCCACGCGCAGAGGGGGGTAGGGGGAGGGTGGAAAGGCTTTCTTAGAAGCACCCCAAGGCCGGCGCCTTCTAAGAAGCAGTGTCCTTCTAAGAAGCCTTCCCCCCTCCCCCTACCACACTGTGCGCGCCGCCAAGGAGGAGCGGGCCTGGACGGCACCGTGCCTCCTGTGCTCGATGTTCGACTTCGCGTTCCAGTCTGTCGCCCCGACAGCGCTGTACGCTTGCCAGCGCTGCATCCATTGGTTTTGGGTGCCTGTGGTGTGGTGTGGTGTAGTGCCCGGTGGTTGTCTGGGGTCTTTGGTGGTTTCAGTGGGGTCTTTGGGGGTGTCTGTGGTGTCTTCGGTATCCGCGGGCGTATGAGCCATCCGTGGTGTCTGCGCTGGTTAAGCTGTCTCCATCTACTGCTCACTCCTCCTGCTCACAGAACAGACATCACACTCAACGCAGGCATTCGCTTTGGGCACAGGCGCTTCGGGCACTCCCTGTCCGCCCATTCACACCCAGGTCTCTGAAGCACTTAGGGACAACAGGCATACGAAACACTTCCTGCTGCACGCACGACACGAGCGCCCACTACGATCGTCTGGTCGAGGTGAACTCGAACAGTCTTCCAGCCACAATTCTTCACCTACGAACTACGCCGGCGAAGCTAGTGTAAGCCAGTAGCACATGCGGGCGGCTAAGTTGAGAATATCATTTAGTCAGCAAAACCTAATCACCCCCTACAGCTGGAACAGGGCAAGTTGGCTCTCCCAGCGAACTCCCTCCAAGTGAGTTTTAGCGCCGCGAAAGCCTGAGGAGACGGCACCCACCCGGGGGGGGTGGATTAGGTCGGCCGAAGGGACCAAGGTTTCCCTGGTGGAGGTGAGGAGAGTTCTACTTGTCCATAAGGTCGGGAACTCTGGCTTAGCGTGTCGCGCCGCCAGTTCTGGGGTTCGGGACCACCACGTTTCGGCGTGACGCGCTATCCACATCCTGGTCCCCAGGCGTCCGTTGCCCCCGTAGTCTAAAGACTTTGTGTTACGTTTCTCGCATGGGCCCATGGACCTGATGGCGTCCCCATGCGTTCCTCCATCGCACGCTGTGGCACAGTTCCGCTGTGGTGTTATGCAGTGCATGCTGGTGGGGTCTTCGTCCGCTAAAAAACATCCCGGACCCCAGGCGTCAGTGTCCTGAGCTTTTCCCATCCGCACCACCCCGCGGAGCGGAGCGACACGCTATCCGCTCGCATGGCGTGTCGCCAGGGACGCCCCCACGACACGCTAAGCAAAAGTTCCCGACCGTGTGTGGCACGCCCGCACATCTTGATGTCCGGGTATGGTGGGCCAAGCTGCTCCACGCAGGACGTAACGGTAGTTGGGCCACGCCAAGCCTGGCCGAGGCCTGGCTTGGCCCAGCCGGGCCGAGCCAGGCCCAGGTGGGCCGAGCCAAGCTGCGGTACGCTGTGCTGTGCCGAAGGCCGGCGACTGTTACGCCAGTACGGGCGTTGGCAGCCGTGGCCCGGTGCTGACACTAAGCGCCGACGTTGCCAGTCCAACCCCCTCACGCCGTGACAAAAACACGACGGGATGTTTTATTCCATTTCGGCTTCTGGAGGCCCTCGCTGGGCCCCGGGACCGTCAAGACGACTCAGGATCAAAAGCCGCTTTGTGGGACTATGTCGATGCCTCGTGGGGTCGACGTGATGAAAATTCATGACGTACGTCGAGGGTCTGGGAGCCAAGCTGGGCCATCTCCGCGGCCAAGGCTGAGCCAGCCCCGCACATGGATCACAATTCGTCCATGTCGGGCAGTGGTTATGTCGGCCCTGGGGAGGAGGAGGGGGAGGAGGAGGAGGAGGAAGAGGAGGAGGAGGAGGAGGAGGAGGAGGAGGAGACAGAGGAGGCAGGAGGAGCCAGGGGGCGGGGGGGTCTAATTGCAGCAGGGTGAGTTTGCGACCCTCGGCGGGTGCGGGGCACTGTCGGTCGAGGCGTCGCAAAGCGGGGGCCGGATCACCGACTTCAGGGAGGTTTCCCAGGAGAAGAACCGCCAGTCGTACGTCTCGCAGCAGAGCAGCGCGACGGGCGATGAGGATCCGAACGCGGTAGACGAAGATGGGCTCCCCCTCGTGTATTCTGTTGACCGCATTGCCAAGTTCTGGGACACGAGACCTGGGGAGCTCTCCGAGCGGTGGGCTCGCTTCCTGCAGATATCGACCCCTTTCATCACGAAATTCTTCTACACGCTCCTCCAGAATAAGCTGTGGGAGAATGAGAGGGAGCTCGCGAAACAGGCCGTGGACAACCTGACGGAACTAGGCTTGCCCACATAAAGTCTACGGACAGTTCAAATGGCCTTCCATGATGGCCTACGAGAGGGAATGCAAGGACACGTTCGCTGCCACTGTTTTCTTCCGCCATCATCCCCCTCACTGGGGTAGCATTTGAATACGACAGGATCACGAGTTTCCTAAGTTTTGTGCGCCATCTTCCCCGAACAGTGCTTGAATGTACGTTGTGTTGATCAGTGATTGGGTGGGTCGGGGGTCGGCCTAGGTTTCGCTCGGTGAGTCGAGGCTTCGCTTCGTGGGCTCCCGCGGGCTCGTCCTGGGCGCCCCGTGTGCTGGCTGGATCCGCCGTAGGTCTGCCTCGGGGACACCAGTGGTTGTCGGGTCGATAGCTGTTCTTCGCAGTAAAGTTGGGGTCCAACAAAAAATCAATGTGAGGTCCAGCTCCGCACTTTAGCTTGTCGTGGACCCAAACGTGCCTGAATGCCTGGGACTGTTTTGGACGTGCTGCAACTCTGGCAGCCACGCTCATGAGTGTTTTGAGAGTGCCGTGCCTCTGGGCCTAAAGTTTCAACGGCGCTGCTTCATCGTCCCCCTCATGCTGCTGCTCCTCACCCCGCTTGTCATCTTCTAGCTGTCCGTTATCCTTTGTCCCTGTCCCCTCTTCCCTCCCTCCTTCCTCCTTCCTCCCCCCTGCTCCCCTCCTCGAGCCTCCTTCCCTCCCCCGCTGCCCCCCCCTTTTCACCCTGCCCCCGCATACCCCTCTTTCCCCCCTCTCCCTCGCTCTGCCCCTCCCCTCTCCCGCCCCCGGCCCTGCACCTCCCTGGTTCGGGCTGCCCACCGGGCGATCCGTGGGCAATTTTCCAGCCCGCCGACAAGGCCCCACGTTTGTGAAGCTGGGGCAGGTGCTGTCCATCAGGCCCGATGTTCTCCCGCAGGTCACCATGGAGGAGCTCTCCAGGCTGCAGGGGAAGGGGTTGGGGGGGAATCGAGGGACGAGTAGGAAGAGGAGGGTGAGGGCGGATGGACGGAGCTATCAGAGTCAAGAGGCCGAATAACCTCACACCGTCCATGAGTGCTTGGCTCAAGCGAGGTTCCGCAGTGCGGGCATTCGTTGTTGCTGAGTCATCACTTTAAAGAATACTTGTTGCTCGGCACCCGACCGGTGCCCCCTGCTTCCCCCATCTCCTAAGCACGAGGTTCTTGATGTTACTGGAACGCCTCCACCTCCCTGCCTCCTTCCCGTCCCCCGCTCTGCTGTCCTGGTTCGGGGCTTGGGTGCCGAGTCCAGTAGTCCGCGGCCTTTTCCGGACTGCGGCCGGGCGCGCCGCCCCCTGGCCGTGCGCGATCGGCGACAGGCGCCCGCGGCGCGACGACGGGGCTCTGCTGCGGCTCCCCGAGCCCTCCCTCCGTGCGCCGCGGCGCCAGGCGCCTGCGCCACACCGCTTGCCCGGGCCGGCCTGGCACAGGCGAGCGTGGCTCGCACGCGCGAGCGCCCGCGCCCTGCTCAGGGAGGCCGCGGCCGCTCAGGGTGGCTGAGCTGTCACCACAGCGCCGGCCCGCAGGAACCGTTCGAGATGCGGGCCGCTGCAGCTGGTGCCCGAGGGCCTGGAGGCGGCAAGAGCGGCCGCGAGGCGGCAAGGGTCCGCATGGCGCCGTCAGCGGCATGGACGGCCCTCGCCATGGCAACCGCCCCCGCCAGGGCCGTCCCCTCATGCTGGTGGTGCCCAGACTTTGACATGGCCAACCCCGCCACGGCCCTGCTGGGCGGCACGTGCGTGCCGATACCTGGAGGAGTCCCTCGACACGGTGCCCCCCAGCCTGGCATGGCATCAGACGGCGGCCAGCGCGTGCCAGATGGGCGTTGCAGGCCACGCAGTGCGAGAACGAGGCGACGTGACCACTCGCAGGCGAGCAGGCGACGTGACAGATCGCAGTCGAGAGTAAGATTTGAGGAAGCGGAGCGTGATGATGATGATAATGATGATGATGGTGATGATGATGCTGATGATGCTGATGAGGATGATGCTGATGCTGCTGATGCTGATGCTGATGCTGTTGATGCTGATGATGCTGATGATGACGCTGATGCTGATGATGATGGTGATGCTGATGATGCTGCTGCTGCTGATGATGATCATCATCATGATGCACGATGATGAAGGTCGTGAGTCAGAGGGTGAGGACGCACAGGGCCGCTTTGCATTTCGCCGGCCCTGCCGCGAGAAGCGTGTGCTCACCCGTCGCGGATTGAGCCACCATCCCACCCACGCAAGCTCCCAGCACATTGCAGATCCCTGCGACAGGTGGCGGCAGCGACGGGCAACACACTAAACGTCGCCAAGGAGCTCGGCATGATCGACGAACCGCTGCGTCCCGAAGAGGGGAGCACGCTGTCATGTTGTGCATGATCACTGCCACCCGCTGTCCAAGAGAGCGCTGCGATCGTCAGCGCGCGTATGTGGAGAAGGCCGAGGCCAAGCTCGAGCGCGCACTGGACGCTGTCGCATCATGTCGTCAGAAGCTTGAGGAGTGCAAGGTCAAGTATGTGCAGGGAGAGAGAGAGAGAGAGAGAGAGAGAGAGACCGAAGTGTCGCGGGTCAAGCTCTTGATGGAGCAGTTGGGGGAGATAAGCCCCGTCACAGGGGTCATGGTTTGCAAGCAGATGATGAGGAGATGATGGAACCTACACCTGCAGCCTCCCAGCCCGACACAGCCCCGCCAGTAGCTGTGATTGCAGAGCTGCAGGCGGGCCAGGCTGCCATGGCCATGCCGATGGCCTAGCTCGCGAGTGCTCTCAGCAAGTTGCAGAGCGCGATGATGGCGAACATCCCCATGCTGGAGCTGCTGGAGCCACTCGTGCACAGGCTGCGGCGGCTGGCGCGGCGGTGGCGCAGGGCGCCCAGCCGTTTTGCGGGCAGGGCCAGCGGCTCCCTGCGTCGCAGGGCGCACCGGCGGCCGTGGCGGGAGGGCCGCCGGCCGCGCCGCCAGCCGACGCTGCGCCCGCGGCCGAGGCCGCAGCGGTGGACCTGCCAGTCGGCGGCTCGGCCCCTCCACCGGCCGCGCCGCCCGACGATGCCGCGCAGCGCCCGAGCCCGTGGCCGCGGCCGCGCAGCCAGTGCAGGAGGCGGCGGGCCCAGAGGATCTTCCGCGTGCGGGCGCTGCCGAGGTTCGCGAGGCGGCAGCTCGCGAGCCCCGAAAGCGGGCCCGCGTGCAGCGACCAGCTGGGGCACGGGGCCTGCAGGCGGCCATCCAGAGGCAGCAGGAGGCGGCGCCCCATCGTGGTCGAGGTGCCATCGCGCCGCCAGGGCAGGTCGGCCGCCCCAGAGCGCCGCCGCCGCAAGGTCGCGAGGACCTCGGGGCAGCTGTTGGAGATCCGCTGGCCACAAGGCGTGGGCGTCCCAGCATGTCCAACAGTCCCCGCCGCGAAACTGATGATGCTGATGATGATTATGATGATGATGATGATGATGATGATGATGATGATGATGCTGATGCTGATGCTGATGATATGATGGTGATGATGATGGTGATGATGAAGGTGATGATGATGGTGATGAGGAGGATGATGATGACGATGACGATGGTGGTGATGATGACGATGGCGAAGATGATGGTGGTGTCGCTGATGATGGTGATGATGATGCTGACGATGATGGTGATGATGCTGCTGACGATGATGACGACAGTGACCATGTTGTTGATGATGATGCTGATGTTGATGCTGATGCTGCTGCTGCTGCTGTTGCTGCGGATTATGATGATGATGATGATGATGATGATGGTGGTGGTGGTGGTGGTGATGCTGATGCTGAAGATCATGATGATAAGTATGATAAGGATGATGATGATGATGATGATGATGATGATGATGATGATGATGATGATGGCGATGCTGCTGCTGCTGATGATGATGATGACGATGATGATGCTGATGATGATGATGATGCTGATGATGATAATGATGATGATGCTGATGATGATGATGATGCTGATGATGCTGATGATGATGATGATGCTGATGATGATGATGATGATGATGATGATGATGATGATGATGATGATGATGATGATGATGATGATGATGATGATGATGATGATGACTACGACGCCGATGGTGACGATGGTGACGATGGTGACGCGTCGTCACCAGGGCGATGGTGCGCGAAGGGCAATCTGTAGAGTTGGGGGGCGCAGCTGAGTGAACTGAGCGCGCCGTCTGGCTTGGCCCATCAGGGCGAGCATCGGATGGAGTCCCTTGCCGGTCGTCTGCGCTGCCCAATTCCCGACTGCAGAGGCCTCGTTTGTCAGTTGGCGAGGCCTTGGCAGCATAGCTTTCCCCTCGCCCCCCTCTTTCTTGGGCGCTTCCAGCCTCCTCTTTGAGCCCTGCCCCCGCGGCAGCGCTGTTCATTTCTCTGAGGCCCATGTCCCCCCCCCGCAGCCCTCCCGCCCTTGGACTCGGACATTGTTAGGTTCGAAATATACACGGCTGGGTCTGGGAGTGCTAAGTACAAGCAGCTTCGGGGGCCGCCGTCTTGGGCTTGGGCAATATGCGTTGTGTCTGCCAGTGGGCGATATCAGGCCGGTATGGCGGGATACGGATACGGTGTCGCTACCAGGGCAACGCGGGATGGAACTTCCCTTGCCGCATGCTTGCCCTCGCCCATCAGTTTGCCCAGAGAAGTTTTTACAGGGTAGGTACACTGAAAACTGTACGTCAGCGTGACGGATGGACACAGGCCGATGATTATATTTCGGCCACAGCAGCTGCTGAGACCAATGGGCGGTGTAGCTCTGCGCTGCGGCGTAGGATTTGGTGTGCTTATCGAGCTGGACGCGCGCTTGCGAGACAACGTGCGCGCGTGCTGTCCCACTCCCCATCGCCCCTTCCTTCCCCCGATCCGCGCTCGTGGTTCATGCGTGGTTGCGTCGGTTTGTCGCGCCCCGCGTGCTCGGTGACCGCCAGCCTTCCACAAATGGTCGGGCGTGATCAAAGATCTGGCTGGGCGGCGATCGCAGGCCGCACCTCTCTATTGTCTACTCGGCGTCAATGCTGCTCTCGGATCGGTCGCGTCGGACCACGTTGGCAATGTTGCCCCGGAGAGCGAGAACTGACAGTCCAAAGCTCAAGGTTTTAAGGTCTACGCGACAGTGCGTGCCGTCAACCTTTCTAGAGTCATGCTCTGGCGCGCGCGGTGCGTGGCTGCCTGCTGACGCGCGCGGCAAGGAACCTGCCCGCCGCATGGACTGCATCACTGCTTCGCTGGAGAACCTCACGGGCATTGCAAGGCGAGAAGTAGATCTAGAGTTCGACTTTTCTCTCAGGCAGGATGATCATGTTGTGGTTGCGGCTGATGCGCGCGCATGCCATATTTCCAAATACGAACCCGCTATGATATGGTCCAGAGCGGCACGTGATGCTAGTAAGTATGACCCGGTATGCCGAGGTGCCTTTGCGAAGGCTCTGCGTGCTACTCCCCAGGCCGTGCTTTGACGCGCACTCGCCGAATGTAGCCGCCAAGGCGTTTCCGCTGGAGGCGGGCGCACCCCTTGCCAGAGCTGTTCTCCAGCCAATCGATCGATCTGATGGGCGCCCGTGCTGACGCACGTCGGTCGCCGCGACCTACTCGGGGCTAAGCAGAAACGTATGTTACTAGCTTGTGTGTTTGTCGCTTGGGCTGCAGATGATGCCACGGCTGGCGATTGGTTCTGTTATCGCACTGCGCGCTGGCGCCCCCACCGCCTACTCACGGCCAGCTGCGCAGGTGCAGCTGCAGCAGCGGATCGCGTTATCAGTGCTGCTGCTGCCTTCGCCGCACCCTGTCGGAGTTTCCAAGGTCGCGCCGCGTGCACGCATTTCAACGCTGACCGCCTAGCTGGCCTTAGAATGCTATGCCGTTTGCCTGGGGTAAAAACGCTGTCTCCAGGCATCCCGAACTGCTTGGACCATGTCTTGGAACCTAGCTAGAACCCCCCACGGCTTAGACCCCTGGGTGCTAAGGCAACCGCTTGCGCTAAAGTGCAAGGCTTAGCTCGGCGCCTAGTGCTATACCTACGTGGGGCGCAGATGAGACGCAGCAGCCTACGCAACGCGACTACGCGTTGCACAGTGCAGCGATTGCTACATGCTCACGAACCGCATGGGGCAGGAGGAATTTGACATAATTAAATACAGCCTTGTGTCGAATAGGTGCAGGACCTTAGTGTCGACGGCATGAGGGTGCGACCCACGCGACTTACAACATAGGCCCGTATTGCCGGAACCACACATTGTGCTTTGATGGCGGCAACATGTTGCAGGGCTTAAGCTAGAAGCTTCGAAGCTGGTGTCTGATGTTGGTAGATTGTCAGGACATGTCTGGAAGAAAGCCCATGTGATCGGATGTCCACCGAGCGAGCCAACAGCGCCCGACTCCACCGCTACTTCCTCCCACTTCCAATGGCCCTGCCGACAGGCGATAAAAGGATGTCTGGGTGACCAATTGAGGGCTCATTTCTCAGCTATTACCGAATACGAGTGCGCCTTGCACATAACGTGCTCGTTCATCCTCATGGGTCCACTGCGTCGACGAGAGGTTCTGATATCGGGGCCTCATGAAGCCTGGCCGTGCTAAACCCGCGCAGTGTTCAAGTTCCCGGTCGATTCTCGTGCCATTGCAGGTCGGCAAAGCGTTAAAAACTAGATCCAAGGAATACGCTACCACTACACTTGGCCTCAAAATCAGGAGAGAATGAATTTGGTGGTTTGCCCGGACGTAGTACGACACGCGCATCTGTAGTGATCATAGTGACGCAGGCTATGGCTAAGGCTTGGCTGCTCGCTCTCGGCGCATTGTTCACGGGCGTTCCTCAGGCGTTTCGTCGTGCTTAAGAGAGAGTAATGCGTTCAAAATTTGACGACCCGTCAATCGCTGCCATCGTTCGCGAGGCCTGGCTGCCCCCCCCCCAAGGCCATGAGCGCGCAGCCCAGACATTGCGCGAACCTGGGACGTCGTTAACCAGATCAGTTTTGGACCCACACGTCGTGGAGCAGGCTCCACGGCGCTGTCAGATCACTTCGTTCGTGTTTGAAGGCCCTGGCCAAGCGTCGCTCCCGCGGAGGCCCTTCTGCCCAGGGCGGCCTATTGTTGGCGTGCTCTGCGACGTGCAGATGGCCGGCTGCATGAGTGAGGCGCGTGCGTCGCTGGAGGCCGAAGATGTGCCCCATCCGCCCTGCCGCCCTCGACGCCCGCCGACGGATCGCCTTCTTCGATGGCGCCGCGCATGCGGGCGTTCCGTGCGATGGCGGAACCGCCCCGTTAGTCGGTGTGGCGCACGCAGTCGACAGCATTATCCTACTTGCGATGGCTCTTGCTTTCCGCCATTCAGTTCCCAGTCGAATCATGGCGCTGGTAGCTGGCATCTGTTGCCGGAGGGCGTCTGCTTGACGCGGGCCACGCAGAAAATGCACAGCAGCACTCGGCATTTGGGGCGGGGCCGGCACGAAGAGCGCGCGGCGCGCAGCTTGGCGCGCACGCGTCGGCTTCGCTCGGGCAGGTCGGCGCGCCCATCGCGCGCGCCCGCGTTCGCATAGGATCGGGCTCCGACGCGCGCCGTTCGATGGCGCGCGAAATTCTGCGCAGGGCATGGGCCGCGGCGCCATCGCGACATGTGTTGCGGCGACGTGCTTCGCTCCAGACGCACCTTGTGCGCGTTGTCGGTTGGCCCTGGCAGACGGCCCTACGCAGTCTGGGCGCTAGTGCCGCGCGGGTGCGCGGCCATCTAGGGCACGAGGTCAGCGGGGGCCTGCGCGTGGTGACGCAAAGAATGCGCACCGAGAAGCTGTGCTCGTGCGCTTGCAGGAGACCTGCTCACATGTGTCCGACGCCTTCGCGAGTGCGCGGTGTCTACGAGGGCGTGCCCCAGGCGTGGCTTCACGCGCTGCCGGGCGCAGGCTGCTGGGCGAATGTTTCTGCGCAGCGCCGAGATTTAAATGCGCGTCGCTTGCCGCGGAATGGCGAGCGGGGCAGAAGTGGGGCGAGACTTGGAACATGGCGACGCTGGTGGGACTTCTGTTCGACGACTTGGCTTGGATACGCTCCGCAAAGCCGGCGCGCGCGCCGACCTGCCCTCGCCGCGCGACGATCTTGCCCCGCTGAAGTCCGTCACTAGGCGCAAGCAGTCAGGGTTGAAACACTCAATCAAGTCAGGGGGTTATGCTGCAGCTCAACGCGCGTCTCGCAGCGCGCAGGCAGCGCGCGTCGAGCTCGGGGTCTTCCAGGGGGCGCGCGCAGCAGGCGTGCTTGCGCGCGCCTACGCGGATGAGCGTGGAATGATCGCGCAGCCTCCCGCGGCAGAGGGGCTTCCAGGAGCGCGACGACCCGGGGGCGCTGATGTTCTGCCCGCTAGAGGGCCTGGTCCTGGAAGGGTGCGGCGCCGCAGGGACAGCGCCCGCCTGGCGCTGCTGGCCTTGCAGGGGCGCTGTGGAAAATGCTCGGCCTCGGTGCTGATGGGCCAGGAGTGCCGCGTTGTCCGCACAGCGCAGGGGCGCCCTTCGCCGTGCTCTTCGCTGACGCGGTGAAGCTTTTGACTCCTGGGGCCGCTTGGGGGGCCCTAGTAGCGGCGTGCATCTGGCCGGGATCTGCTGGCGAGAGCGGCTGCAGCTGGGGGCCGTGCTCATGCGCGCCGCGATGGTCGCGGCGGCGCGTGGACACAGGTCGCGCCGCATCCGCCCGAAGGTGGACGAGCCGGGCGGTCGGGGGGCAAACCCGCCCGCGCGCTGATTCGGGGGCGCAGCCGAGCTAGAAGAAGTTTCAGAGATGCCGCGCGTTGGGCCTGGGCTCACCGGCGCGTTGCGTCCTTGCTCTTCAAGTGCACGGCGAAGCAAGAGACGACGCGGGGCTGCCAATGGCGGGGGCGGAACGGAGGTCTTACAGTGTCTCGCGCTGCAGCGAAACGGCGTCGACTGGTGGGCGCGATGGAAGGCGCCTCATCAGATGCAGCCCGCTCGGCCCTCGTCGACTCCACAATGAGTGTGGAAGTTGGGCCGTCGGTGTGCGTTGACGACGCGCGGGCCCTGGTGGCGCCGCGCGGCCAACGCAGCATGTTCGCTTGAAGCAGCGGCGAAGCAACGCTAGGCCACTATCCAGCGCGGCCCGACGAAGACGGCGGTCCGGGGCCAAGGCCTCTGGGACGTTCGATCTTGCGGACGCGCCCATGTCTCCTGGTCATTGTTCGGGACAGCGGCGCGCCGAGGCGGGCGCGCCTCCGCCCGCGCGCGGAGGCGGCGCGCCGCCTTGGCCATTCGCATATCAGCGCTACGCGGGACCAGGGCGCCCCCCTGCAGACGCAGTTCCTTGCGCCGTGGACCTGCGCTCGCCCGGAGTCCTAGTGCGGGCCAGAGCTGTGCGCGCATGTGGCGAATTGCGCCCAGGGGGCGTGCGGGCGGTGCGCTCTGGGCATCACATGTACAACGCTGCGCGGGAGGTCCGTCGACCTTCGGAGCAGACTTCCTGTTGCGGTGACCGCGTAATTGGGGCAGCGGCGACTGCGTTGGCTGGCCACGTGGCAGACGCGCTGCGGGACCAGCCGCGCGAGGCTGCCCCTTGGCTTCCGGGGCGCACCTTGGCAGGCAGCGGCGGGCGGCCTGGGCCAGCGCGCGGCGGCGGGTGCGGCCAGGAGCGCCACTTAGAGCGCGCGTCTCGCCCGCGCGCCGATTGGCTGCTCGGCGGTGCACCAAAGAGGATGCCGCGCAGACGGCAGCAGCGGCTGCGCGCCTGGAGCATTGCTATGCGCAGGCGGCGTGTGCCTGACAAACCCCAGCAGTTGTGAGGCTGAGCGTGCCCTGGGGATTCGGCCATATCTGGAAGGTGCCGGGCGGCCGGGGGTCGAATAACTAGTTGGCCGCAGAGCGATGATGGATGCCCTGGCCCGCGCGGGTGGGGCTGGGCTGGGGGGCGGCGCCAGTGCAGCGACTGGAGCGCCCCCAAGGGCGGAAAAGGAAATGGTGGAAGGAAGGGAGGATGTATATTTCCTTATCCGACTTAGGTCGGGAAAAAGATCTAATTCTTTCCTTATTTGTACACCCTTCACTAGCGGTACTTCCTTTCCTGTCGGTACCTCCTAGTCCTTACCACCTCCCTACCTTGGTAGGGAAGGAGGTAAAATATAGGGTCCCTCCCTTTTTTCTCGGTGGCGGACGGGTTTCCCGACCTGGGTAGGGAACCCCGTTTGCCACCGAGAGAGACGGGAGGTATTGATAGAGGAGAGGATGAAGGAGGGAGGAGGAAGGGGAGCAGGGGGAGACACACTGCCCAAACGACCTCTCCAGGCTGCAGGGTGAGGTAAAGGCCTTCTCTACGGCAGAGGCCCGCGCGATGGTGGAGAAGGAGCTCGGGAAACCGATCGACGAGCTCTTCAGCTCCTTCAGCGAGAAGCCGGTGGCTGCCGCATCTCTTGCGCAGGATCGGTTGGAAAGCGGGTGGCGGGGCCGTGGGTCCTCTTGGGTCGTCTCGGGAGTATATTGGGCCAAACTTTCCCAAGGCGATCCAGGGCCGACAAGCTTCCGAAGCACGATGCTCATACATTCACACGGGTAAGGTTCTCCGTTGCCTTCGGCATGTCACGGCTTGGCTTGGGACCTTTTGGGGCGACGGGGCATGTCGGGAAAATCTTCGATCTTTGGGGGTGTCTTTTGGACATATTTGGCTGGTCTTGGGGCACCTTGCAATGGCCATCTTTGGCTGGTCCTAGGGCATCTTGCAATCACATCGGGGCAATTCTAGACGCTTCGCGAAACCCCAGCAGCCAATCCAAAAACAATGCCCAGGTGACTTGCCCTGATCGGGATGTGGAGGAGCATGCAGTGGAATAGAGGGCCGTGGAAGTCGTGATCCCCCTAGAGGGGGAGGATGGAGGAAGAGGAGGAGGAGGAGGAGGAGGAGGAGGAGGAGGAGGACGACGAGGTGGAGGGTGAGGGGGAGGGGGGAGGGAGGAGCGAGGGGGGAGGGAGGAGCGAGGAGAGAGGAGACGGAATAGGTGGATGAGGTAGAGGAAGATGAGAAGACTTAGACTTAGGTAATCCTGGGCGCAGACACAGAGTTATCCGACTGTTGGATCGTTGGGGGTATCTGCGCGGCTGCATGATAGTTACCACGTTGGCACTGGTGGGAAAATCACACGGTCCCCCGTGCAACCCGAAAAGGGTGAACACAGGCCGCATGGATTGTGTCCCGTTCGACTCACACGAGCGGGTGACAGCCGCCAGGAGCAGACGCCCTGACACAGAGGGGCCTCCGAACGACATCCCCTACGGCAGAGCGCAACTCCAGGAGACCGTTACCCCCTCCCCCAGGCCGGGGGGACGGCTATGTTTCCCCTATATATATTTCCCCACGCCTCGTAGGGCGTGGCTGAATTCTTGCAACAGGAACTATGCGGTCCTGGGAGTCCTCCAGAACGTCCTGGGAGAGGGAGGAGGTGAACGAGGCAAGAGCCGCCTCTCTATTGACGAATCCCCGAGCTATTAACTGATCAAGACGAGCGCTGGAAGCCAGGTTTTGCATCCTCCTCACTTCTCCTTCCCTAAGCCTTCCTCGAGCTTGTTCAAGCGCGCTCTGGCATCCCTCTCCAAGACACCGCGTGGCGCTGCTCCAATCGTGACCCCTCCTGACGCACGAGCTCCGTTCGCAAAACCTCGTCGAGCTCCGTTGCCAGACTTGCTTTTGAGAGGGTCTATTGGGGACTCACCTTCCCCTCCATGGGCTTGGATTGATTATTCTGCTGCCCTGCGGAACGCGCGCACGGAAATATTTGTTGTCCGTCGCCATGTCCTTCAGCTCGTATTGCATGATGTGGTGCTTCCAGTAGTTGGAGGGGGTCTCACGCGCCTTGCTGCCTTCCACGGTACTCGCGAGCAACGCCCGCACGAAGTCACTGCACACATGCAGATGATGGCTCCCTGACGAGGCGGTGTCCACTGTGTCGTTCTCCTTGTCTTCCTCCCTGCGTTTCATGGCCGCCCGATGGTAGTCCTTGCCTGCCTGGACTGCCACTTCGGTGCGCGTGAGCGTTTCTGGTACGAGAGCCGTCACGCAGACAACGCTGATGACTCCCCGAAGGTCGCCCGCCATGCTGAGCACGAACTTGCTGAGAATAGCCACGAGCTGCTGCAGCACCTGAGCCTTGGAGGCTCCACGTCCTGCCGAGCCCTTGGCCTTCGCGACGACGTCCTCGGCGTTCCGTGTCTTGTTCGGGCTGCCGTCGGACAAGGCTGCGCTCGCGGCTCCCTTGGTGTTTTCGAGGAGGCCCCGCTTCACGTCTCCGATGCCCGAGTCCGCCATTCATCGTGGCATGTCTAAGTCGCGGCCCATAGCGCAGACTCTTGCCCACAGTGGCGGGAGCACGGATGTCGAATAGACATGGAAGGTGTCGAGCAAGATGCGAACGGAGCTCGAGCCACGATCCCTCTACAAACTCGAAGCTTGGATGCTCAAGCGATTTGGGTTCCTGGGCAAGAACAATTGCACGAGCGAGATCGGCTACGTAATAACCACGCTAAATAGATCTGGCGAGGTGTCGGCGAACCGTGACCTCCGAAGCGAACACCGTGTGACACAAAACACTCGTTTGTCGGGTTATAGAACGACGTGATGTTGGCGATGCTGCCTACCAGTCGAACGTGTGTGCGCAGTGCTCCTATAGAGTTAAACACCCTCCCACATCTTCTTCATTCCACCTCCACCTTGAACGTGAAAGCTCTCCCACCTCGTGAGTGCCTTTCTCCTCCTCGTTTGTTTCCAGGAGCTTGTTGGGCATACGTGTTGGTGGGGCGGTTTGTGTTGCATGCGTTGGCCCTGCTGATGGTGACGTCGATTTTGCAAGACTCGTCTTTCCATTCCGGGTATTTTAGCCACGCCACGATGCACGATCCCGCATTTTCCCGCAAGTCCTGAGCTTCCTCATAGCAGCGCACGAGCGTGTCGTCATCTTCCTGGGCTCTTTTGGCCCACGTACTGGGCTGGCATGAATGACATGCTGTCAGTATCGGAAGCTGTGCTTTGCAGATGCACATTGGTCGTGCCAAAAAGCGCCGCGAAACACTGGACGCGATCGATCCTGCCCGCCACCACCTGCTGCAAACACCTTAGGCGACGCACACAAAGCCCCACCTCAGCACGAGCAATCTTCCAGTGCGCCAGAACCTCAAGGTTGGTGAGCGACCGCAGCGTGCGGCCTCGTTCCAAGTGCATGCCCTTCCTCTCATAGCAGTGCGCGCCAGCGAATCCACAACTCCATCGATAGTGTCATCTTGCCTGTTGGTTGGCAGGCAAGACTCCACCGCCGAAGGCGCAGCATTGACCACACGCCCCCGCAACACAGTTCGCCTCCACCTCCACGGCACATGTCCAGCACTCCAGAAGGAATCCACTGAATAGAGCGCGGCTTTGGCCGCCTGCAATCTCGTCGTCACTGGGCCCCAGATACTCGGCATGGTCAACACTGCAGTCGATGCTCCTTTTTTTCGCAACTCCCGCCTCGCAATTCCACTCCCGTGTCCGTGGATGGCCATGATGTTCATTTGCTTCTTGTTGTCCTGGGCGGAGACAGTGCTTGTGACGCAGGTGTCCATGATCTGCCCACATTCTTGCATCTCGCTTCGCCGCCTGTCCGAGTTGACACTTTCTCTTGCAGCTGGTGAGTGCTGGGGGATCTTGTTGACACCGCCAGCGTACAAGCACAGCCCAAGACCGACCTCCTGTCTCGTATTCGGGAATGTCACCACCAGCCGCTTGTCAGAGTCTCCTTTTTCCCACCACAGCGATGTCCACATGCCGATGGCGTGGGAGAAGGCACGGGGGAACCAGTGCACCACGAACGGGTACCCCATGAGGCCTCTTTGCGTTGGTCGAAACTTGAGTATACCTTCAGTGGCTGGAAGGAGCACTTGAGCACATCGTATACACTGAAGAGCAAGCCTGAGGTCACGCGGGAGAACGAGATCAACAGCATTGTGTTCCAGAATCTGCATCCCACCGATGGGAACACGTTTGTCATATCCTTGAAGCTATCGGCACACGGCCATTGTAGTTGCTTCAGCCTCTACGCGATCGCCATGGGAATCATCCCTGCTGTCTTACGTCGCCGCCCGTTAGCATAGCCATGGTGCTCTGGTGGCAGTGGGTCATTTCTGGTTCCGATACGGCACGCAATAATTATCCTGGCGAAGGGCCCAACCATGTGAAGGAGCTGGTACCGCGAGGCAAATGAGAAGACGCTGGGGGGAGGAGTGAGGGGTGTGCCGACATGGGGCGGATGCGCCATGCGGACCCTGCCATTCGGGCCTTGGATGGAGATCCTCAAAAGCACGTGTGATGGGTGAGCCGAATCGGACTCGAGCTCGCCATGCTGACTTTGTCGCTGGGGCCTTCGGTGTAGCTCCCCATGGGGTCACGGCGCGTGTGAGGCGTGTGCCGTATCAGATGCGGGTACGCCAAGCGGACCTTGCCGCTGGGGCCTTCGGTGGAGCTCCCTTCGTGGCCGCGAAAGGTGTAAGGGGTGTGCCGAGTCGGGTGCGGGTACTCCATGCGGACCCTGCCGCTGGGGCCTTGGGTTCAGCTCCCCATGGGGCCATGAAACGTGTGAGGGGTGTGCTGAATTGGGCGCGGGTGCGCCATTCGGACCCTGTCGCTGGGGCCTTCGGTGGGGCTCCCGATGGGGCCACGGAGCGTGTGAGGTGCAGGCCCTGCCGCTGGGGCCTTCGGTGGAGCCCCCCATGGGGCCACGAAGCGTGGGAGAGGTGTGCTGAATCGGGTCCGGGTACGCCATGCGGACCCTGCCCCTGGGGCCTTCGGTTGAGCTTCTTCCGGGGCCACGAAGCGTGTGAGAGGTGTGCACAAACTGGTGCGGGCAAGCCATGCGAGCCCTGCCGCGTTCCGAAATCCGAATGCGGAGGGCAGAGGCAGGGATGGGGGAGGAAGCGGGGAGGGAGCGGGGGGGAGGAGGAGGAGAAGGATAAGGAGGAGGAGGCTGAGGAGGATGAGGTTGAGGAGGAGGAGGAGGAGGAGGAGGAGGAGGAGAAAGAGGAATGAGGATGAAAGAAGGAAGGACGGAGGGAACGCGGGGCGCTGTCTCTTCACATCGTGGACCCAACATCACATGATGGTTGGGAACAAACCTTTGCCCACGACGCGGAGTAAGTGTAGCAATCGTCGCCCTTCTGGTCCAGGAGTGTCGTTCTTCTTCGCAGGGTCGCATTCACTGGCATGCCAGCTTTTCGATGTGATCTGATGATTCTCAAACTGTAGAACGCCATGTGCAGACACGCCGCAATGTAGCTGTTGCCTGTGTCTTTTATGAAAATACCGGCAGGCAGACACGCCTTTCGCTTCGGTGTCTTCCAAAGGTACCGTTTTACCTTTTGATGTCACGCTTATTTTCGAGAACCGGACCGCCTTCACATACAGGCCG